ATAGATAGATACATAGATAGATATATTATATAGATATATAGATAGATAGATAGATAGATATATATGATAGATAGATTGATAGATAGATAGATAGATAGATAGATAGATAGATATGATAGATAGATAAATAGATAGATAGATAGATAGATAGATAGATAAATAGATAGATAGCTAGATAAATAGATAGATAGATAGATAGATAGATAGATATGAAGGCTGAGAAATAACAGACAATTAGATATACGGGCAAACAGACTGAAGCTAGATAGACAATGTACACAGACATTGTATAGTTAATAATATACACAGACATTTTATAGTAAAATTATATACACAGACATTTTATAGTAAAATAATATACACAGACATTTTTTTAGTAAAATAATATACACAGACATTTTTTAGTAAAATAATATACACAGACATTTTATAGTAAAATATTATACACAGACATTTTATAGTAAAATAATATGCACAGACATTTTATTGTAAAATAATATACACAGACATTTTTTAGTAAAATAATATACACAGACATTTTAGAGTAAAATAATATACACAGACATTTTATAGTAAAATAATATACACAGACATTTTATAGTAAAATAATATACACAGACATTTTTTCGTAAAATAATATACACAGACATTTTATAGTAAAATAATATACACAGACATTTTTTAGTAAAATAATATATACAGACATTGTTTAGTAAAATAATATACACAGACATTTTTTAGTAAAATATTATACACAGACATTTTATAGTAAAATAATATACACAGACATTTTATAGTAAAATAATATACACAGACATTTTATGGTAAAATAATATATACAGACATGTTTAGTAAAATCATATACACAGACATGTTTAGTAAAATAATATGCACAGACATTTTATAGTAAAATAATATACACAGACATTTTATGGTAAAATCATATACACAGACATGTTTAGTAAAATAATATGCACAGACATTTTATAGTAAAATAAAATACACAGACATTTTATGGTAAAATCATATACACAGACATGTTTAGTAAAATCATATACACAGACATGTTTAGTAAAATAATATACACAGACATTTTATGGTAAAATAATATACACAGACATGTTTAGTAAAATCATATACACAGACATGTTTAGTAAAATACTGCCAAATTCTAATGAATAATTCTCAGTTTTTCTCAAAATCTCATATTTTTGTTAAATTACAAAATGTACTTTTTAATATAAAAATTTCTCACTCTCCCTAAAACATTCCCTAAAATCCCGGAGAATTATTTCTTCAAATTCCATGGATTATAAGGTACTGAATTCTCATATTTCCTCAAATCCCGCATATTAAAAAAAACGTTTTACCAACAATTCTATTCTACAGTGTAATTTAGTTTTCCTTTTTTGCAGGCTTATTGATGCTAGCTTCTTGAGATAAAGAAAATTAATAGAATGCCCCTGTAGATAAAGAAAAATAATAGAATGCCCCTTGATATAAAGAAAATTAATAGAATGCCCCTTGAGATAAAGAAAATTAATAGAATGCCCCTTGAGATAAAGAAAATTATTAGAATGCCCCTTGAGATAAAGAAAATTAATAGAGAATGCCCCTTGAGATAAAGAAAATTAATAGAATGGCCCTTCAGATAAAGAAAATTAATAGAATGCCCCTTGAGATAAAGAAAATTAATAGAATGCCCCTTGAGATAAAGAAAATTAATAGAATGCCCCTTGAGATAAAGAAAATAATAGAATTCCCCTTGAGATAAAGAAAATAATAGAATGTCCCTTGAGATAAAGAAATTAATAGAATGCCCCTTGAGATAAAGAAAATTAATAGAATGCCCCTTTAGATAAAGAAAAATAATAGAATGTCCTGTTGCCCCTTTGGATAAATAGGAATACTGGGTTGCCCCTTTTAAAATCAAAACAAGAGAGTTATTGTTTGTTTACAACCTATATGGATATTATTAATGAGTTACAGTTGAAGTTTGTATTCTATCCTTACATCTGAGGTGTATTTCAGCTACTCCATCATGTCATCTTTCTCTGCCGTTGTGATGTCTATCCTCCTCTCTCAGGTAACTTAGGTTTTGGAGTGTTCTTGATTTGTGTGATTTTGAGACTGGGACTCAATTTAAGTGGGTCTGACTGGAGATATCGGATAGTTTTTAAGATTTTGTTAAAGATCAATGTGCAATGGTTTACTTTGAAATCCTACGGTTCGTCTTTCACATCTGTGAGTTTTACTATATGCTTGTGAGTTGGATATTTAAAAGGAATTTGATATGTAATAAGATCCTAGAGTTGAAGATTGGTTGTAGTGGTCTGATTTTCCGGCATTTGCCATTTTTTGTTGTGCGCACATGCCCCGTAAAATTCCAAAACAGAGAGGGGGATTGAATTTTGTAGATCCAGGAAAATATCTGTGGGATGGTTGCGTAGAGACTGGCAGCTGGTAGGGTCTTAAATGTAAGACATGTGGCCGCAGGGCTCGGCCCCCTAGCCTATCCTAGTTGCAACGCTCGGCCCAGAAAGTCTCGTAACTTAACCTTACCCGTGGCCGCAGCGCTCGGCCCTCTAGCCTGTCCTAGTCGCAACGCTCGCGGCTCGGCCCCAAAAGTGTCTTAACCTAACCCTAAATAAATACTAATTTGTTTTTTCTGGATCGACAAAATTCAATCCCCCTCTCTGTTTTGGAATTTTACGGGGCATGTGCGCACAATAGAAAATTAAATGGAACATGTTTGTAACTTTGAAGATTAATAAATGAACCCTTTTTTACACTAGTGATCGTGACTTCTGGGTACCTGTGAGCTGCACCATGCTTTAACCCAATTTTAAGTAAAATGTTGGGTGCTAATGTAATCATAAGATTAAATCTGAATTTGCAGTTTTAGCTAATGCAATTTGTGATTTCCTTTTCTTGTAGGCTTTGGCGACTGGTTATTCAAGTGGAGGTGGCTATGCTGCTAATCTCGGTTATGGCGGTGGATATGGCGGTGGATATGGTGGAGGATATGGTGGAGGATATGGAGGGTCTTCTTATGGACCTGCCTCTTATGGTTCTTCTTATGGACCTTCCTCTTATGGTTCTTCTTATGGACCTTCCTCTTATGGTTCGTTTTATGGACCTTCCTCTTATGGGGTTCCATCCTATGGTAGCTCTTATGGACCTTCCTCTTATGGACCTTCGACCTACGGATCATACTCTTATGGACCTTCCACATATGGACCTTCCTCGTATGGACCTTCCTCTTATGGACCCTCTTCCTTCGGTTCTTCCTATGGATCTTCCTCTTATGGCTTCCCTTCCTATGGGCTTTCTTATGGCGGTAGCAATACTGGTTATGGTTCAGCTAAATACTAAAAGGTATAGGTTTAACATATGATATAATTTTTACATTTTTCTTTGTGTCAAATTCTGAATTCTTATACACTTCTTTTGTTATCAACTTGTTTGTTATTGTAAGAGTTATTTATTTTTTATTCCAGGTTGAAGTAGATGGTCTTCTGTAGAACGTGAAGATTGAACTGATTTTATAAAATTTTATTTATGTAATTTTAATATTTAATAAACTTCTCTTATCAATTAAATTTATTTAACTGTTAGCTGGCCATTTGCTGGGTATTTAGAGGGAGAAGGGAACCCCAAGATGCCATGAGCCTCCGCTATGCTTGATGAAGTTTAAAAGAAAGATTTTTTAAAAATTTGACATGTGGCATGAGAGGTTACTCAACGATTAATTATCATAAATAGTGCCCAATTCTGACTAAAGAAAGTAGTATACCTTTAAACATTCTTTACGTGAAAAGAAAAAGAGATAAAAAATCTTTTTCTTTGATTTAAGCAATCCCTTTTTTAGAAATTTGATTTATTTCCAAAACGGGAATAGTTAAATTAAAGATTTTAACAATCAAATTTGTTAACTACATAATACGTTCATATATATTTTCTAATCTTACGTTTATGTTTTCTAATTAGACAATCTAGAAATAAATCAAGTAAAACGTTTGTGCTAAAATTCTGAAAATTAAGAAGCTTGGGTAGTTTACTGATTATTGTAGTTCGTCATGATGTTATGGATGTTTAATATACTTTTTTTGGCGGGGGGGGGGGGGAAGATTGATACAGTGCCTCATCCTTTACTTGGATGCGAATCTATTTATCTTGTGTGGCGAGGGAGGGAAGGCCAAGCGGCCATGAACTCCGTGGAAAATCTCCGAACCCTGTAAGGAGCAAAAAAATCTGTATTCTGGGGGAAATGGCATGATTTTCGAATTTTTTCCAACATATGGCACAGGATCAAACAAAAGTATTACTAATAAATGCAATTTTGGTCTTATTCACGACCCTAGTACATGTATTTTGTATTCCTTTTTTAAGCTTAAACTTTTAAATGGACTTACGCAACAACGCACAAAGTTTAGTATTTCAATGATTTTTAATGAAAATGCAATAACATGTTTTAATGTAGTCCACTATTTTTTTTAATTCACGTCATCAAAGGGCAGTTTTACTCCATAATATCATTGTTTCCTGTGTCCCCTTTAAAAGTGACCTACGCTGTAATTATTATATCTACACACGTAAGAAATATAAATATTGAATAAGAATGATATTTGATATTTTGCATTTGCAAGTTTTACCGCCTTTTAATTTTTTTGTATCATCGTAAAGTTATTTTTAATTAAAAGTATATAATCATTTACTGCATTTCTAGCGGTCCTAGTTTATCGTCTTCATTCTACTTTGAAATAAAGGGGGGGGGGGCACGAAACTTATTACTCTCCGGGAAATTTAAACAGTGTATAAACATAACTTGTCCTGGGAGGCTGATTTTTTGCATGCGAGCTTAAAATTATGAATATTACATGCATTTTTTGGTTTTGAACGGATTTGAGGAAAAGTACGCTCGCGCCCTTTTTGTGAAAAAATCCGACTTTTTTTACAGTAATTCAATTTTAACTTCATTAATTGCACTTGAACATTTATCCTGATACTCTAGAAAAAATATAAGCTCAAAAAATTCACCTCCAAAGCCTTAAATGTCCGCGCGCGCTCAATAAAAGAAAATATCTTTGAATACTTATTTGCTAAGTTTGGCCTAAGTCAGAATAAAAGTAGCATAAGATACATCAAACTATAGCAAAATTAGGACAAGGATTACATTTCCGAGGTCAAAATAGACATTGGAGCATTCTGACATTGGAGTTGACCCATAATGTAACTGCCGACTACTAGCGCGCCGGTCAGAAGGCTCCAATGTCTATTTTGACCACGGAAATGAATTCCTTGTCCCAATTTTGCTATAGTTTGACGTATCTCATGCTACTTTTATTCTGACTTAGGCCAAACTTAGCAAATAAGTATTCAAAGATATTTTCTTCTATTGCGCGCGAGGCTTTGGAGGTGAATTTTTTATCTCATATTTATTCCAAGAGTATCAGGATAAATGTTCAAGTGCAATTAATAAGGTCAATATTGATTTACTGTAAAAAAAAGGTCGCATTTATGACAAAAAGCGCACGCGCGCGCACTATTGATCAGATCCGTTCAAAACCAAAAAATGCATGTAATATACATAATTTTAAGATCGCATGCAAAAAAAACCAGCCTCCTAGGACAATGCTAAGTTATGTTTATACACTGTTTAAATTTCCCGGAGAGTACGTTTCGTGCCCCCCCCCCCTTTTTATGGTTCATTTAAATTACAAATTTTATTTTAAAAAGCAGGTATCGAAATATTTGAAGACGGACTAAGAATGTAAGTACAGGGTTACCCACTAAAGATGAAACTTAGGAGACGTTAAGAATTTATTAGAATTTTTTTCAAATATTTCTGGTATCTTTCTTTGCCAAATAATTGGAATAACTTTAAAACACAATTAAAGCAAAAGCCAAAGTTAAAACTTAGACTGTCAGTTTTTAAAAGCCCATGGTCTTAGCTAAAGTCTCATCCCTTGGACGTTTTAGAAGTCTTGTGTTTTTTAATAACCCTAAAAACTTGCGAAAACACTCATTTCAATTTGCTCCAAATATTTTGCTGACAATCCTATGGATTGTGTTTACCAACTTGGAACATTTAATTAGTGAACAAAGTTAACTAAATGAGGATTATTCCACTATGAAGAAATTAAGAAACAAATCAGGTTTCTAAGATTTTATTAAACAAGTGATAAAACAGTGCATTTAAAAAGTGATAAATGCATGCATAATTATCTATACGACAGTTATCACACAAAAAACACAATACATACTTAAAAGATAATTCCAGAATTTTTTAAGTGCAATACTTATAAAACGTTGTACAATACAACCTTCTCGTTCGTTAACTCTTCAATGCAGGAATCTAAATAAAATGAAATAAACAGAAAATAAACATTTTTATTTTTCAATGAGTGTTAGATATTAATATTAGACAACTTTCCAAGTGGACCCTTCCCAAACGTTCAATTTCCCAAGCGGCAACTTCCTTCAGGTTTTGTTTGGCCTTCTGAGGCGCTGTGGCTAGGATGGGGTAGGGGGCCGAGCACTGATACCAACAGAGGCTAGGAAGCGAGCGCTGCTGCTAGGATGGGGTAGGAAATCGATTGCGGAGGCTAGTACAGACTTGGGAAGTTGCCACTTGGGAAAATACTCTTGGGAAGTAGCCGCTTGGGTAAAAACTTAAATGTATCAAGTGATATATCCGATATATCTGATATATCCGATATATCCGATATATCTGATATATCCGATATATCCGATATATCCGATATATCCGATATATCCGATATATCTGATATATCCGATATATCCGATATATCCGATATATCCGATATATCCGATATATCCGATATATCTGATTCAGAACTATTCCCTTAAACCCTTGATCTGTTCCAACAATAAAGAATCTATTGTGGTGTTATCTTGAAACGTGAGATTAATTAAAATGTTCAAGTTCGTAAATCAGATTATCATCTTTTACGCACATTGCGCATTGAAGACATTTCTAATTTGAATATTGTAATCAAAGAGAAAAGAATATATACTAGAATGGAATTTACTCGAAAAAAGTGTAAAACGGCCATTTTGTTGTACTGTTTCCATACTACAGAGCCCGAATATTTTCATCCGTACTTTTTACAAACATATGACGTCTCCACTTACTAACGTCCTCAATACGGAGGAATTAAGTGCTGTCTAAATGGGATTTTCTACAACATTTAGTGTCCGACCATAAACTGCAACAGCGCGCGACCCCTATAGACTAAAATAAATAAAAGCTGTTCAATTCACTGCGTGAATACATTTTCAGGGATGCTTTTTATTGCATGACTTTCAAAAATATTAAGTTCTAAAGAATTCATGGATTATAATATTTTTTGTAAAATAAAACTACAGATTATTAAATTTTTTATTTAGTTTTTATCAAAATCGGATTAAAATTTGACTTTTTGAATTAAATTGTATTATTACAATTGTGATTATTATTTATCCCTGTGTTTATAAAGTTGTATTGTGTGCAGGTGCTGACATCTATAATAAGGTTAACTCACGGCGAAATTATGTGAGTAACCATGACGTGAGTAAGTCTGTCTGTCCGAAATAACTAACGGGAGACATCTAGCGGAAAAACACTTTTAGAGTACGGAGACGTATTTAGGACATCTTAAATACGACCGTAAATTTGAAAATATTCGGGCTCAGGTGTACTTCACATATTTGTGCTATATAACCTTTTGGGCCCTGGAACATCATTTTATAGAGAAGTTTTCTTGAATGTTATTTGATTCTCTAAATCAATTCTCTGATAGCCTGTCATGCACAGGTGGATAGAAATCAATCTAATATGTTTTTTTTTCATTAAAAAACATATTCCTATAATTGTAGCCTGCCGGTAATCAAAGAGGGAAACCCAATATTTTAGAAATATTCAAGATATCAATATGGTCCAACTCTTTTTACACCAAAATAGAGGATGGTCATAAACTTAATATTTTAAAATTAATATTTAAAGAAAACCAAATTATGTTGACCAATGATCATTTCACATACACTATGCCTTTCACTTAACAAACACTGATTTTCCGTTATCGATATAAATCAAATGATGTTTTTTATTCACCTAATTCATTTTATAAAGTTTATTTAACAGCTTTAAAAAATTCTAAATGGAAATGGACAGTCAATGGAATATACTGTATTAATGTACACTACTGCATATAATTTGTGAACATTTACATGCATTGTACACTTAGAACTCCCTTTCAGGCTGAAAGGGACTGAAAAAATTCATACCGAGGGATTGTTTAAATTCCACTCTAATATATTCTATTCTCTTTGATTGTAATATTGTTACTTGTTAGTCGGAAATATTCGTAACCTTCATGAAATAGGAGGGAAGCGGGGGGGGGGGTGCAAAGAAGATAAAGACATGTATTATAAAAATGTAAACCATTTCATTGGGGTTCTTTTAATACTAAGGATTTAAAAAAATCAAAATTCCGATTTAAAAGCTTTTCCTTGAAACATCATCCTGGATGAAGAATTAGAAAACCAAGAAGGTATTTCTTTGACCCTGAAGGAACTGAAGGATTAATATCAAGTGACGGGTCCGATTCACATGTGAACTGGTTAATTCTGAAAATTTCTCCATGAGTTTCCAGCAGTAAAAATGCGTAAGTCACTTTTGTACAGAAACCACAATTTAAAATAATCAGTTTTCAAAATTATAAACATGGATATCTGGTAACTTGATCAGACTAAGCTGTTTAGAATACCGTTGTGAATCCGACTTGTCACTCTATTTCACTGGAAACTTAAGTGTACATGATCCTTACCTCTCAAATATTTTCTGATGTAATAATAACAGAGTGATTTTTTGACGGAGGAGGGGGGGGCTGTTAAAAGTACCTCGAAATTAAGATTTTCTGGTTAAAAATGATATTTTTATATAATTCACCTTCTGTTTCTCTTCCCGAAAATGCCTCCATCACCAAGCACCATATCAAAGGGTTTTCCGATAGAGCCACTGAAGAACTTTTCATGCACAGGACGAACACCATACCCATGTCTGCCGCGATACTCGTGTCCGCCACCATATCCGCCGTCATACCCGTGTCTGCCACCAGCTCCGCCAAAATATCCGCCACCATACCCGTGTCCGCCACCATATCCGCCTTTGTTATAACCTCCGCCATACACATATCCACCACTATATCTATCTTTATCATATTCTCCGCTATATCCATACCCGTCTTCTAGATGTGGATTTCCATATCCATAACCGCCATCGTATCTGACGACTTGGGGCCAACTATATCCATATTTGTCTATTCCTCCATATCCATGCACCTGCAACAGAATTAATAGAGATCACGATATTTATCATACAGTGGTCACCATAACAAAGTGGATTAGAGAAAGCCTATAAGTACACTATCGAAGTAAATTTTCTGATGTTCTGTCGATGAAATATAAATTCCAAACATGGGAATTCAGTGACGAAAGTTATTTGGGACACCCTTTATTTTAAACAAAAATACGACTTTTAATTTTTATCCTGACTCCTGAGAATTTTTTTCAAAGAAAATACATGGATTCAAGGGGACGGGTAAAACTTTCAAGTGACCCTATAATTATAGACAATTTAAAAACAATTTTGAAAAAATAGAAATATCTACAATTAACTATTAGATAATAAAATTTAGTTTAATATTTGAAAAATTTGAAAAATCCATGACTAGGACAAAAAGCATCAAATAATGTAAATGCAAAGGTATCATACCTTTGCCCGGGAATTCTGAATGGCCAACCATAGCAAACATACAAATGAACGAAGAGCTTCATTATATAGATTACAATTGTACTTTTACTTTTTTTCAAAACAGAAACTTTTAAAAGTCACAATTATTTTCTGGACCTTGGCGTTGCCCGTGGAATTTTAAAAATCCAATCAAAACAAACAACTTTTAACTCGCATATGTAATTCCCAAGGTTATCCATGAGTTTCCTCACTAAAATTCAGCCCATTTGATTCAGCCGTTTAGCCAGCCATAGCGAACAAATGAACGAAGAGCTTCATTATATAGATTACAATTGTACTCATACTTCTTTTTCAAAACAGAAACTTTTAAAAGTTCCAATTATTTTCCATGGACCTCGGCGTTGCCCGTGGAATTTTAAAAATCCAATCCAAAAAACTTTTAACTCGCTTACGTAATCCCCATGTATCCATGAGTTTCCTCACTAAAATTTAGCCCATTTGATTCAGCCGTTTGGCCAGCCATAGCAAACATATAAATAAACTAAGAGCTTTATTATATAGATTACAATTGTACTTTTTTTTCAGAACGGAAACTTTAGTCATAACTATTTTCTGGACCTTTGTTCTTTTTCATCTCATAGAATTTAAGTTTAATTTGAGTTTTTCAATTTCAAAAATGTCTTTTACTCTCTCTAGTTTAAATCTAATTATTACTAACATAATAGTAGAATAAAATGTCGATTATTAGATACAATGCTTTTTTTCTGCTAGTTTTGTTTATAGGAGAGATAAAGTATAGTACATGCTAGGTAATTGGACTGTATGTGTATCATTTAAAGTATCTTATGCTTAAGCCTAATTCGCCTGATATCTAGAAAAGCAAAATTTTTGAATAAACAGTTCAAGTTTTGCNAGCACTGAGGCGGAGGCAATTTTTTTTGCTCTTAGCGCAAATTTGGCCCCCCTAGAATTAGTTTTGTATACGACCTTGGACTCCCTACATAAAGGTGTCAGCATATAATTAAATTTTACTATGCTTTCCATTTTTTTCCCGACAGAGCCCAGATTGTTTCATCCGTCCTTTTTACTGACATATGACGTCTCCGACTGTGTCCATCCTTAGTACGGTGTACGTCAAAAATACACCCTTAATTTGGGACGATCTAGGCTCTGGGTAGTGATTCTTTGAACTTAGGACGGACTCAGTTGAAGACGTCATATTTTAGTAAAAAGTTTGAATGGGAAAATGCCAGCAAATTGAAAATTAAAAATCATATTAAACACTAACCATGGCGACTGCAGCAGACATAACGGACAATATCTTTATTCCACTATTCATGATAGACACTGGACACTGAACGCTGGACACTGGACAGTGATTATAGCATGTACAAACATTTTTACTTGCTTATAAACTTATATTATATAAAATTGAGATTGTACACATGTACACTGTACAGATTCAAACCAAAAAACTTTGTGTACATCAGTTTATAAATTATAGAAAAAGAAGGCGGAAAATCTTTCCTTTTGTTAAAGTGCCGTACTAACTTTTAAGCAAGTTGTAAATTATACTTTACATATAGACTATAAAGCATGAAAAACATGACAGTATACAAAATGAATCATCCTCTTTTTTTGAAAATTAATGTGATATATTAAAAAATGATGAATATATCACATGCCAACAAAAAAAATTATATAAAATGTAAATGTATTTGTTTAATTTCCTAACTCATATCTTTTAATCTTAATTTACCCTGGGTTCCCCCCCCCTCTTCCTATAATGTTCTGGATGCCCCCCCCCTCCTCCTATATTGTTCTGGATGCCCTCCCTCCTTCTTTAATGTTCTGGATGGGCAACAAAGCGGAGAAAGAAGGATACAAGAAGATCTGTTAACTGTATTTATAAAAGAAAAAAAGTGACTGCAGTTAGACTCAAATGAATTTAAATATCCCAATGAGTTGAATTGTGCTATGTACACAGAACCCATTACACTAGATAAGATGATTCTCAAGATACTGGTAAAACAATTTTAGTAATGTAAAAAAATAGATTGATGACATTTCGTCACAGATTTATGGGTCTCGCTGTAGAAAAATTAACAGATTTGCATTCGCATGCATAAATGTCAGAATCATGATCTTAAGATTATTCTTTCAATTCTGAATCAGCTAAGGATACTGAGTTACCCATTAAACAAGAAGAAGAAGTGAAAAAAAGAATAGCAATAATAATTAATATTAATTTTTATTTGTGTATAAATGTCATATTCATTATCTTAATAATATTCATTTGTTTCTGCTTAATAGGCTTAAGATAGTTCAGATACAGAGTCACCCGTAAAGAAATGAGGACTTGATGAAGACTATAAGAAAATATTTAAGTTTTCTTACACAGGAAAAGTTCCCAGCGTTGCCCGTGAAATCTTTTAAAAAATTGAGAAAAAAGCTTCATAACAATTTCCATTTTGAAAAAAAACATCGGATTCGAAAAATATATATAAAAAATGTTCATAAATGGAAGTATAAAAGTTAAAGATTTTACATAAAAATTACGTAAATATATTTAACTAAATGAATATTTGAAGTGTTAACAAGGAATGCATTTATAGAAATAAAAATTGAATGAGTAAACATGATCATGTATTACTATATTACTATATATATACTATTATATATACTTTGTTTGTCTTAAGGTGGGTATTTGTCTGTGAGCGTGTGTCCAATAAAAACGTCATAACGGCCATTTTTTTGGAACATCAAAATTGAAAAAGTTAAATCTATCATTATTTTGAAGCACATGACTGAGTGTTAATAAACAAACGTTTACAAAACTATGTCTCAATCAAACAAATTAAATATACAAAACTTAATGAACATATTGAATGATCATTACTTTAACTGTTTGTCTAAAAAATGTTGTGTCTGTATGCTCAGCAGGGGCGTTAACAGGATTTGGTCTGTCTTTGGCACAAACTCAAATATTTAAACCTTTGGAATCTGATGTTGTAAACCTTTGATATTTCAAATTCAGAATATTTGATCTAACAGAATTCATAGCTTGAAATATCTAAGGTCTAAAACCATAGATAAAGATAGATTGCGCATAAGACATTGAGTACTTATGGTGTACATGTGTTCTGTAGAGAGAAATTTAAGTTAGTTTAGTCCTTCTCATGTCCTTCTTCAGTTCTCGTCAATATGATATATTGCTCAGTGAAATATTGTTGTTCAAATAGTTCCATTCCCGGAGTTATTTTACACTCTATTCGGGAGGAATGGTTAAACCTAGTAGATTGGAAAAGACCCAATCCGAATGTTATCTGCAACAAACATTTTCCTAGTTATATAAAAGTGAATGGGAAAAAGTTGTCAAAGTCTGCTGTCCCCTCAATTTTTAACATTATCGGATCGCTGTTCAGAACTACTCCCTGGAAACTGTTCTGAACGAACATAATTATGCCGTCCAGCTATTAAAAAGCTTAAGAAAATGTATGACGGAAACACGAGAAAAGGGAAAAAATTCCAAAATCAGAGTTATTCCCTCGAAGCTCAAAAAAGAAAACTAGGCGAAAAAATTCGCAGTCTAGAATCTGTGATTGTCGAAATAAAAGACAAGTTCTCTTTACCAGAGGTATAAACCTTTTTCACAGTTCAGCAAGTAAAATTCTGGAGGAGTTGTTTCAAAGAGTTATAAAAAAGTTAAAATATTCGGATTGTAGAGATAAATATCTTCCAGCTCTCCGATCGTTTGCTTAGCAAGATTGTTCTTTTTCAAAACCAGGGATTGTGATTGTAGACTAAATTTTTTTTATCAAAAAAGTATCTAGGTTTATACTATAAACTCAAATTCATGTCGTTTTAAATATCAAAGACCATCAAGTTGTAAAAATATACGGCTTAAAAATCAATCAAAGTGGCAAAGTTTCATAAATGATAAAAAACAGTCTATAAACGTTATAAACGTTCAGTTATATGAAATATATAAAAAAAAAATTAATCAAAAAAATTTTGTTTCTAAATGACTAAAAAAAATTATTAAAAGTTGTAAGTTATAAAATGACTGTAGACTCTTGTATTCTGTATACTCTGGTACTCTATGCATTCTGGTATCTCTGTATATTCAAGTAATCTGCACACTCTGATTGCAGTCTTAACTTGTTTTTGCATTGTTATTGTTTCTTCTGCAACAGTTTCTCTTATTATTTATTACTAGTTAAACAAGGTAATCAATGCACTTTTCTTTCTTGGAAAACATGTTTTAGTAGATTCTGTAAAGGCTTTGATAGATTCTATCATTTTTTTCAGATAGTATCAATGTTTTATGAGATTCTATCAAAGTTTTATGAGTTTCTATCAAAGGTATCTGAGATTCGATCAGTGTTTTTGAAATTCCATCAAAGTTTTAATGGAATCTTTCAATGTTTTATGAGATTCTCTCAGTGTTTTTTTTTCAGATTATATCAGTATTTTATCCGATTATATCAGTGTTTTATTATATTTTATTAAAGTTTTATGAGATTATATCTGAGATTATAACCGTGGTGGGCTTTGAAAAAGAAAAATTCTTCTTCTTCATGTTCTGCATTTTGTTCTCTTATTCATTTTCAATTTTTTCTTCAATATTTTTAAAGTTAAAATTTCTAATTTGACCCGTATGTATTATAGTTTACAAATGTGAAATCGTCCAATCATAATTGCAGTATGGACGATTTATAACATCTTAAAATTCATAAACCAGGTGAATTAGGCAGTTGTCTGATTTATGTAAAAATGGAAAAAATTAATCATGTTTAAAAACAAACCCTCCAGATTAGTGAACTCTGATTGTCAAACCTGACAATATTCTCTTCTTGAATTCCTGTTAAACTGTGCACAAATCTATCCAGCTCAAATTAGTACTTGTTGTCAGATCTACAAATTTTACAAATTCTACATTGTGTCCTTATTTGAGGGGAAACTTTGAACATTTTTTGCTCATTTGCACTAAAATATGTTCATTTATACAAATTATAATTCATGGGCAAATGGCGAAACTAAAAATTTTAGTTTGATTGAACAGTTTTTTGTTCATTTGTACTGACTTCGATTTTACCATCACTTTTAGCTTTAGTTCAAACTTCAATTGAACATTTTTTGTTCGAATTCCTATTATAAAATATATGTTCAATGGAGCCAATCAATTAAATGAACCCAATTCCACTAGAATTATAAAAAACGTTCTCCACGTGCTTAAAAAACCTTCCACGTGGATTTTAGTTTGATTGAACAATTAGTCCGAATGAACGTTAGTCAGATCAATTATTTATTATTATTTCACCCTCCCATTCTTTCCTAATCAAAGACGATATTTAAAATTCATATTTTCGCGGGAACTTTCTTAATCTACAAGTGACTCCACCTGTGGGCCGCGGCATCAACTAATCCCGCCATTTGTATTTCAGTACTGGTTGTCAAAACAAACCCGAGGTTCTGAATCCAGGAATAGTGAACACATCGCCGTTAATTCATTCAATTTTACAATCTTGATGTGTTTCTAGTTTCTTCAAGTGAGCGATGGAGAATAAAGTATTTGGTCCGGGTGGAGGGAAAGGCGCTGAAACAGATAAACTCAACATCGATAGTATTATTGCCCGATTACTCGAAGGTGAAATTCGTGTTTATGCGTTTTTTTCTTGTTTATCAATTTCGAAATTTTAATTTGTTTATTGGTAGTTCGAGGGTCTAGGCCAGGAAAGAACGTACAGCTAACAGAACATGAAATCCGAGGGCTGTGTCTCAAATCCCGGTAATTTTTACAAAAATCATGTTTCTACTTTTTTACATTCAAATTACAATTGTTTTAGTGAAATTTTTCTGTCTCAACCCATTCTGTTGGAACTGGAAGCCCCCCTCAAAATATGCGGTAAGAAAATATTAACATATTGTATACTAGGGACAAGGGGGGTCTGTCCTAGTGAACGATTTTTGGACCCCCCCTCGGCCCCCCCCCTCCTATCAATTTTGTACATGACGAAATTAGTAAATTAGTATTTTTTTATTATTATTTAGGGTTAGGTTAGGTTAAGACTCTTCCCGGGCCGAGCGCTGTGGCTAGGACAGGCTAGGGGGCCGAGCGCTGCGGCCACATTGTTAATTATATCCATGTCTAACTTATAAGAACCATGTACAAAATTGATAGGAGGGGGGGGGGGGGTCCAAAAATCTGTTTTTTCTCTACCTGTGAATATTGAAAACTACTGAAGGGCCCGATGTTGCCCGTGGAAAAAAATTTTAAAAAACGTTGAAAATTCTTTTATAGCCTGTAACACCCCCCGACCACCCATAGTTTCCACAAAAAATTTCAGTCCAATCGGGCCAGCTGTTTGGCCGGCTATACGCAACATATATACGAATGTCTTGTTTTATTATAAAGATATTAACTATTATAAAATTTTTGGTTTGATGTTTGTAATCTAATTAACTATTTCTTACACTACTATTTTGATTCGTAGTGTTTAAAGTTTTTGGACAGAATTTTTCTTTAATATATAATACTTTAAAAAAGGCTTGAATGTTTTTGATTAAGTTTCTGTCCAAAAACTTTTTAATATATAATAATACAAGACATTCGTATATATATATATATGTTGCGTGCTGCCAGCCAAACAGCTGGACCGATTGGTCTGAATTTTTTTAGTGGACACTCATGGTTGTCAGGGGGGGGGGGTTGTTATAGGCTAAACAAAATTCGATTTTTTCCCCAGATTTTTTCAACTTTCTTTCCACGGGCAACGCCGGGCACTTCAGCTAGTTATATATAAACTTATTCAACTTTATAGCACAATGATTACTTATTTTACGTCAATAATAAATTTTACAATGGTGTGAGTATGAATGATATAATGAAGTTTTATAACATTTATATTGCACAGGTGATGTTCACGGACAGTACTACGATCTACTCAGACTCTTTGAATACGGAGGATTCCCACCAGAGGTAGCATATTGTCAAATCAGGGGTATTTTTGAACCAGAAACCAAATTTAATGAATTTGTACTAGGTCGCTAGAATACCTACCACCGGTTTAAATCATGAATATTGATTAAGGATTAATTTGAGTCGTAGATTCAGAATGAATTTGATCCGGCAGTAGGTAGTTTAGCAACCTCTCACAATTCATTAAATTCAAACCTAGCTCAGGTCAGGGACAACTTTTTTGTGATAATAAACATTTTATAGATAACTTACATTCTGTTACTGTGCAGTGAACAATTATATACTATGACTTTTGTCTTTATACAGGGATTATGTCACACAAGATAGATTGCAATGCTGTTAAGTGATACTTGCATTAAGCCGATAAGAAATATTTTATAACCTTTAGTTGATTGAGTTCGTAATTATCCAGGGATAACCCCCTCCCCCCGTTTTACCCCAAAAGTTGGAGAAATACAAATTTTTGGTTTAAGGTTACTCATGATAAAGTTTTTTTTGTAGTCTACCTAACTATGCCTTGTGTAGTCGAACTACCTTTTCCTTGTTGTACTTTAACTTCCTATTCTTTGTTTTAGTCGAACTACCTATTCCTTGTAGTCTAACTATTCCTGTTGTAGTCTAACTACCTATTCCTGGGAGACTACGTGGACCGAGGGAAGCAGAGTTTAGAAACTGTCTGTCTACTTCTAGCATACAAGGTAACCTCTTGCTTCATCAAACAATTTGTGGCATTTTATAGACAATAATACTATTTGTGGCAGAAATTACGGACTGTGGCAGATACTATCAAAGATGCTATTTGTGGTAGATATTATGGCCTAAGATCCTATTTTTTGGCACATATTATAGACAAAGATACTATTTCTTGCAGATATAATAGACAAGATACTATTTGTGGCAGATATTATGGGCTAAGATACTTTATGTGTGACATATTATGGACTAAGATACTATTTGTGGCAGACATTATGAACATAGATACTATTTGTGGCAGATATTATTGAAAAAGATATTATTTGTGGCCGACATTACGGACAAAGATACTAATTGTGGCAGATATTATGGACAATGATACGGCAGATCTTATGGAAAAAGATACTTTTTGTGCAGATATTATGGACAAAGATACTATTTGTGGCAGATATTATGGCCAAAGATACTATTTGTGATAGATAAAGATACTATATGTGTGACATATTATGGACTAAGATACTATTTGTGGCAGACATTATGGACAAAGATATGATTCGTGGCAGACATTATATTATGGCCAAAGATACTATTTGTGGACAAAGATACGTGTGACATATCGTTGACTAAGATAGTATTAGTGAAAGGTTTTTATCTAATATTAGATTTAACCGACTTTTTGATGAAAGTTTTTTTTATTCCAAATATTAATTTTCTCATTTTCAATATGGATAAAAATCACAAAGGCAAAAACTACTTTAAGCTTTCCTTTGTTCATATGCAGTCTTATTTTTACAATTTGTAAACAATTTCATTTATTAAAAACTGTAAATACTTGATTTTATATGATTTGTACACGTTGATAAGCCTTATCACCAGGTGATAAATTTATTCTTGTAACATGGAACATATCCCTCCGATTTAACAGTGTGAGATTGGTGAACCAGAATGAGATTGGTGGAACAGCGGGAGATTAGTCACTTAGTGAATCAAGGGGAGATAGAGGAACAGGGTGAGATTAGAGGAACAGGGTGAGATTAGAAGATTAGGGTGAGATAAGAAGAACTGGGGGAGATTAGAAGAACAGGGGGAGATTAGAGGATCAGGGTGTGATTTGAGGATCAGGGTGTCATTATATGATCAGGGTGAGATTAGAGGATCAGGGTAAGATTAGAACAACATGGCGAGATTCGCGGAATAGGGTGAGAGTCGAGGAAGAGAGGGAGAGTCTTGAAATAGGAGTGAGATTAGAGGCACAGAGGGAGACTAAAGAAACAGGGGGAGATAACGAGGCGCAGAGGGTGATTAGAGGAACAGGTGGAGATTATAGAAACAGGAGCGAGATTAGAGGCACAGAGGGAGATTACAAGGTACAGAGGGTGATTAGAGGAACAGGTGGAGATTAGAGAAAGTAATGAAATTGCATTTCTCCATTTATAGAGGGTCATGTCTGATATTTATGGTGTCCTTAAATAACATAGTAGATATGGTAGCTTTCTTGAAAAAATATTTAATTTTGATATTGCCCTGCAGGTTTTAAAGGTTAAATCTCATTAACTCTTGAGCACTAAGCAGACGAGGCTTTTTAGGGAACCTTTTTAAATCTAACATGCCACTCTGTAAATGGAGTGATACTTGAAATTTACATCTTCAGTCCTTATTAAACATTTCTTGATTTGTCATAGTTTTCCTTTCTAAAGTAATCTCCTTTAAGTCGCTATTAGGAAAAATGGGACGACATTTAAAGTATTATCTCTTTTTGTATATCCGATCATAACCCAGGAACCCCGGCCCTGGAACGATTTGTCGCTCAAATTTTGATTAGGGAACTCGGGAGATTTGATTCTAAGTTGAGTGGGTCGACTTTTATAGCGCGGGTAAAGGGTGGGAGTAACTTTGAGTATTTTTGGCAAGGCTGGGTTCCCAAGGTAGTATATTTGTTTATATTTTCATATTAATCTTCAATTTTAGATCAAGTATCCGGAGAATTTCTTCTTGTTGCGTGGTAATCATGAATGTGCCTCTATTAACAGAATTTACGGATTCTACGATGAATGTAAGTCTATTCTATATACAGGGGTGTTTATTTTTCAGAAATTATTTTTGATGGTATTGGGGGTAAATGAAAAATTGGACATCTTAAATGTCAACATTTTTTTCATTCTTCTGATATATTTTACCCAAAAATTGATTTATTTTCCCCACTTCAGCGAATAAAATCCTAAAATTTAGCAAATATATTTTCTGACANGGAATTTATTTTTAGCTTAATTATGCACCCCCGTAAAATAATTATTTTTGCGGTGTTGAATCTATCAAACTTTATAGTTAGTGAATTTTTTTCTAGATATTTTATCATATTGTTAGAATTTTGATGTTTTTTCTCCGTGAAATCGGAAAATTCTGAAAAATCATGCTTAGGATTCATTTATTCATCTGGATCCAGGTCGTTTCTTAAAGATTACTGAATTTTTTAACAAAAAATAATTTTCAAATTTTTAGTTTTATTATTTTCGATCATTTTTATCCCAAAACTTGATGAACATTCAGAAATGAGGAAATTCTTACAATCTCTCTTTTTTCAAAAGTTTAGATTTGAGTTTTAGGAGTAAAAAATTTGCAGTTTTTGGTTGATATTTTACCCCTTGGATCCGGATCCATATTTTTGCGGATCCGGATCCAGGAAGCCAAAATCTTGCGGATCCAACGGATCCGGATCCTAAGCACTGCTGAAAATGCATTCATAAACTAAGTGATCTACAGTACGATAGCGTGTTTAAGGATCCATTTCATTTTGATGCGGATCCTGATCCTGAATCTGTCTACAGAAAGAAATGAATCCGGAACCAAAGCATGAACATGTCTATGATTATTTGATTTGAACAAACGAAGAATTCTTAAATCTCATTTTTGTGTTAAAACTTGAACCATTCCGAGATATTTTGCCACTTGGATCCGGATTCGGATAGACAGGAAGCCAAAATGTTGCGGATCTTAAGAATTGAGAAAAGGAGGGTACATGTTTTCTTCCATTTAATCCCCCACTCTCATGAATGTAGTTTAAACTTATTTAAGTGTCTTTCCGCTGTTTTTTCTAAAATCTCTCTCCTTTATTTGTCACTAATAATGAATTTGAAAAATTGTCAATTCTCAGAAAAAGATGAAAGACAAGTTTTATATATTCTTATTATTTGACTTTTAAACCAGTCAATTCCATGTTATCTATTCCTGTATTCAGTCTTGTATCTTATCACGGTTAAAGGGACTGTAGTATTCTAGAGTCACATTATATTTAAAACTGACACCATTTAAACCCTAACCGATCCATACAGTGAAGATATCATTTTAAATCAGACATGTCACCCGGCCCTCACTGGGTCTGTTATCAATCTTTGTTATTGTTTACAATTTAACTAGTTCCTTGGAAAAAGTCCCCTAACCTTAGCTCTATTGTTATGATGACAAACTCGATTTTTTTTTATCTAAACAGGTAATAAAATAGTAATTTATAAGCAAAAGTTATCATGTCATCGATAGACCTAAAACAGGTTATTAAACTTACGTTAAACTCAGCAAATTATTTATTTCCCCAGTCTAGAGTTGGGGAGGAGACTTGGTTCTACAGGGGGAGCTTTCAGATCTTTTTCCTGATATTCCTGACNGGTTTCACAGGGGAAAAACCTATGCTAGGAAGTTTTTAGAAGGGGAGGGGGTCTTCTTCCCCCTCATAGGCCTGGATAGTTATTCCAATGCAGAACCTGACAAATGGTTTCATGTTAGTTTTATATTTTTATGATGATTGTAAATTGTATTAATATTTATTTAGCTTTTAATAAACTTGGGTTGAAATTAAATAGTTTTAACCGTGTTGAAGGGGGAAACTATATCTTAAAAATATAAAGTTGTAATCTCTGTCTGTTTATTTGTCTGTCTGTTTGTCCGATCATAACTCAGGAACCCCTGGACCGATTAAATTTACTTAAAAATTATTTCAAACAATGGGTTTCCTCGACCAATTTTGCTTACAAAACATCCCTCGCTACGGTCTATATGGTTTGTTTGTAGGCCAAATTGGTCTTGGGAAACCTTGGTAAAGTACAATTCCCTTAAATTCCCTGTAAAGTACTTGTACTTGTAAATAATTAATATGCATGAATCATTTATTTGACCTTTTTCTATGTTTAGGCAAGAGAAGATACAACATCAAACTTTGGAAAACATTTACCGACTGTTTTAACTGTCTCCCCGTAGCAGCCATAGGTATGTATATAAATATATAAATGACAAATTTTATGAGGTAATTTTTTCTGCCATGAATTTTTTATGTTTATGTTTTCTAACAAACCCTTTTTTATCTTTAAAAAAATTGTATATCCGATCATAACTCTGCTTCAAATATTAACAATAAATCCACGAGAATCGTTCAAGCTTGATTTGATATTTGATAGTTATCGAGGAAAAAGTCTTTTCGTTTTGTTTGTTGTGTCCGTATTTCTGGAAGTTTTTTAAATGAAACAAAATTAATTTTTTTCGCGTCTAGAACTGAGCCTTGTCAATCAATGTTAACTGAATGTGTATTTGTTCACAATTTAACTGGCTACAAAGCTGCTATTAAAAAGTAAAAAAAATCAATCAATCAATCAATATATATTAAAATTAAAATCACAAAATAATGAAAATTCATAATTCTCTGTGTAGAGGCTCAAAGTATTGTTAAGGATAGCGCTTATCCACACTGAAGGATTTAAGTTTTTCTTGTATGACCAGTCTTGATGGCGGTGTAGGGTCTTTTCCTTAATAATCCAGCAATTGAGCATTAAGAAATAATACAATTAAAGGGGTTCTGTGGCTATGACTAAGAATCGACGAAACGCGTTTTGAACAGACTTAACGTATATACTTGGTGACCTCTTGATTGTTTAAGTGGATGAAAAGATATTCTGCTGTCATGGAGGTCTCAGTCCTGATCTACAGAGCATGGAGCAAATCAGGTGAATAAAAATCATTATCAACATATGTTGAAAAATAAACATTTTCTAACCTGCTCTTTAGAAAATCTTTTATTTTTATTATATAGGTTTGTCACGTGGGCTTTATTCACTCACTGAAAAAAGGAAAACACTTCAAAGAAGTTTTTGTTAATAAGTATCTGAATGAGTGAAAGAAATATAATATTATTTTTTTGGTTTTTGTTTATAATAAGGGCTGAATGTTTTTGGGGTTCCCTAGGAAAATATAGACTAAAGAAATCGACATTGTTTTTAAAAATTCCTATTTTGATTTCAACTTTTTTCTTTCTGTTTTGAAAATTCAACGGGCAACGCCCGGCAATTGAGTTACGTATTAAAATTTGTGTATTTATTAAGACGAATAATGCGTCCAACCGATGTACCAGACCAAGGACTGCTCTGTGATCTACTCTGGTCCGACCCTGACAAGGTAAACAGATGAAATATTATAAAAAGAAAACATCTTAAAAGGGACCCAAAGATTGCCCGATTTACAACGGTACCCAGAAAGCTTTGTCTTATGAATTAGATAGCAAAGTTATAGTTTTGATAACTGATCTTATTCAATGTGGATTTAAACAAAAGTGACCGGCAATATTTTGGCTTCCAGGATTCGGATCCGCAATCCGGATCTAAGGGATAAAATATCAATCAAAAAACTGCAAACAAAAATCCCTAATCCCTGAATGCCATAGCACAAAAATAACGAAAACAAGAAGAAGCAAAATTTCAAAATTTTCCCTTTGTTCAGAAAATCCTTTATAAATATTGAGCTAGATATGGTTCCATTTTTTCCAGTGCGGATCAAATTAAACTGATCCTGAGTCTAAAACTAAAGAACGAAAAGTTTTGACTTAAATTTTAAGTTCATGGTTAAATGCCACTTCTGACTTAATTTAAACCTGAACTTTAACCGTGAGGTTAAATATTTAAACCTGTGGTTAAATATTTAACTCGCCGAAATCGACGAGTTAAAATTTAAACACAGGGTTAAAATCTTGAAATCCTGCATTTTCCCTATTTTTCTATTATTCAATCATCTCTCAGCTGAGAATTAGCGGCATTTAACTTTACGATATATTTAAAAGTGAAAACCTTGTTAAAGAAAATTCACGTTTTAGAAATTAATTTTTGCATGTAAACCCAAAAAACGGTTGTAACTCGATATATGTTTTGTTTTCGGTTACGTAATAACAGCTGATTAGCGATGGTTATGTAATATTCTCCGTAAATCCTTTTCTCTGATTGGTTCAGATTTTTCCCGGGAAATTCAAATTTAAAATTGAGAAAGTTTAGTATTTAAGTAGCTACTCATTATTTTACAGAACTTTTAACCTCGAAATTAAAATTCGCGCATTCTTTTAGTTTTAGATTCTGATCACTGGTTTCCAATCTAGTAACCAATATGTTGGCTTTTCATCTATATATATATATATAAAACTGAGGAATCCCTGGACCGATTTGCCTCTAATTGATTGGGGAACTCGGGAGAACCATTTTGAGTGGATCGACTTTCATTGTGAAAGTTTAGTTTCCCAGTAAAAATCGACCAATTGCGGGTAAATTGCGTGAATAACTTTGAGTACACTGGGCAATGCTGGGTTCCTAAGCTAGTCATATCATTAAGCTTTTAAGATGTATTTATGTAAAGTTGTAATTTCTGTTTGTTTGATAGTCAGACCATAACTCAGGAACCATTTGCTTCAAATTTTTATTGGGGAACTCTGGAGAACCACGGGAATGTTCAAAGCTTGGTTTTAAGATTCTAAGTTGAGTCAGCCACTTGAAAAATAGCTAAAATCGTAATAAACTTTAATGGACGGGCAAACTATGACTCCCCTGGGCAACGCTGGGTTCCTAAGCTAGTACAGGTTAATAGTATGTACGTAAATGAAATTTATATCAAGACTGTAATCTAGATTTAAAAACGTGTTCTGAACTGCTAAGGTTTCCCAGACTTACACAATTCTATTCGGATTAGCTTACTATTAAATCCTAATACTTGCTTGGGAACCCGGCTATGTCCGGAAACTAAACCTTCTCTGAAATGGTCAACCCACTCAATACAGATATTTTCAATTAAACCAAGATCATTTCGTTGTTCCTCTGAGCTCCCAATTAATTTGAGGCAACTCGGTCAAGGGGTTACTGAGTTATGATGGTGACATGAAACGCCTCAACACGGAAACGACTCAACACGGAAATGCCTCAAAAAAACAGAATCGTAAAACTAATTTAATGTCGTCTTCTCTCAACTCAAAATTAAAAAGTCTATATTCTACTGATTTTCACAGCCATGGCCGCAGCGCTGGGCCTCCTAGCCTGCTCTAGCCGTAGCGCACGGCCCCCTAGCCTGTCCTAGTCTCAGCGCTCGGCCCCCTTATAGCCATCCTAGCCGCAGCGCTCGGCCCCCTTCGTAGCCTGCGGCGCAACCTAACTTACCCTAAATTAATGGTAAAATAATTGTGATTTTTTTTACTGAGAGAAGACGACATTAAATTAGTTTTATGAGTCCGTTTTTTGGAGACATTTCCGTGTTGAGGCGTTTCCGTGATGAGACATTTCCGTGTTGAGGCGTTTCCATGTCACCGTTATGATCTAATATACAAATGAACAAACTAAGTTTACTGCTTTATAAATACAGATATATATTAAACTGCTAAATATGTGATTATTTAACGTTTTATCCTCTGATTAGAGTGCACCTTCATGTATGCATCCGCGACAATGTTCATTATTTGATATGTTCATGTCATGGTTTGGTATATCTGCGTATATTTCTTATTTGCGTTATTAACTTAATTATATAAATAAAGAAGCCCTGAAGTTTGGAATATTTATGATTATACAACGTGTACTGAGGTATACGAGGGGAAACCTAGTAAATAATGGCAAAATTTGGGGGCGGGGGGGGGGGGGAGGGAACATTGAAATGACATGAGACTAAAACGTGCAAGATAATTTGTTTTCTAATTTAAATCCCTCCCACCCCTCTCCCCATGAAAAAAGTTTCTGTATTGCATGACGATGGTGAAATTCAGTTCTATAACTGGTATTATGGCTAATGCGTATTTGAAAGGTTTCCTTGTAATTTAATAGCATGGGAGTAAATTATGAAGGGGGGGGGGGGGTTACTTGTTCCTACCCTTTCCGTGGAAGAGTGACGTCACCTTTCTTTTTTTTCTACGGATTGTGTAATTTTTCATGTATTTTGAATTTTGATAGATTACAAATGACGAAATTATAAGCAATTTTTCCTTTTTCGTAGATCATATTTTTTATCCCTTGGTTATACGTCCGTAAATCTTCCTGATATAATTTTTTTTTAATTCGATTTTTTTAGTTATTTATCATATTTAGGATACGATGGGTTGGGGAGAGAATGATCGTGGAGTTTCCTTCACTTTCGGAGCTGAAGTAGTTTCTAAATTCCTTCACAAACATGATTTCGATCTTATCTGCAGAGCACATCAGGTATCAGGCATGATTAATCGATTGAATGACTGAATAAAGGATTAATTGGATTGATTATTGACTAATTGGTCGATTGATTGACTAAATAGAAAACTGATTGATTGACTAGATAATCGATTGATTGGCATGCAAGATAATTGACTGACGAGGTAATTGATTGACTAGATAATTGATTAACGAGATAATGATTGACTAAATAATTGATTAAAGAGTTAATTGATTGACAATATAATTGATTGACAATATAATTGATTGACTGGATGATTGATTGACATGATTGATGATTGATTGACATGATTGATAATTGATTGATCTGTTAGTTGATTGATTTAAGTGTCGGTCGATTGATCGATTTGATGGTTAACTGATTATGGTTGATTGATTTGATGATAGTCTCGTATACTTTTTATTCATAGTTTGTATGTTTAATTTGATGATTGATTGATTGATTGATTGATTGATTGATTGATTGATTGAGTTGGTTGATTGAGTTGGTTGAGTTGGTTGATTGATTGATTGATTGATTGATTGATTGATTGATTGATTGATTGCTCAGGTTGTAGAGGATGGTTACGAGTTCTTTGCTAAACGTCAACTTGTAACACTATTCTCTGCTCCAAACTATTGTGGAGAGTTCGATAACGCAGGTAAGTTCTTTCTCACATCCTTTCATAAAATATTTGTTTCCTTATTTATTCATCCTTTCTTTACTTAATTTATTCACTTATTTATCCCTGTCGAGTACTATTCATTATTCTTATCATTCAATTAATAATTTTTAACATAAAATTAAAATTATTGTGTTATTTAATAGTTAAATTAAATCGTTTATTTTGTTGAAAGTATTCTTTTTAAAAGATTCTAAATTTTATTCTATTTTTGGGTGCGACAATAGTTAAAGTAAAATACATAGCCAGAGTCCGAATTTAATGAATTTGAACCGCGTCTCAAATCTGCTAAAAGCTGATTTTAGTTGAGCGCCACCTAAAATCTTGAAACATTAAATACAATTTTAAGCGTAACCATCCTTATTTGAGCCGCGTCTCAAGTTTAAGCTGTGGCTCAAATTCTTTAAAGGATTAATTGGATTGATTATTGACTAATTGGTCGATTGATTGACTGAAAAGAAAACTGATTGATTGACTAGATAATCGATTGATTGGCATGCAAGATAATTGACTGACGAGGTAATTGATTGACTAGATAATTGATTAACGAGATAATGATTGAATAGATAATTGATTAAAGAGTTAATTGATTGACAATATAATTGATTGACTGGATGATTGATTGACATGATTGATGATTGATTGACATGATTGTTAATTGATTGATCTGTTAGTTGATTGATTTAAGTGTCGGTCGATTGATCGATTTGATGGTTATGGTTATTATTATTATTATTATTATTATTATTATGGTTGATTGATTTGATGATAGTCTCGTGTACTGTTTATTCATAGTTTTTATTTTTAATTCTGCCTCAGATATCAAAGATCTAAAAAGAAATAATAACAAATGTTAATTCAATTTTTCATTAAGGTGCAATGATGTCAGTAGATGAGACGTTGATGTGTTCATTCCAAATTCTCAAGGAAACCCCCCCCCCCCCATTACTTTACTTTATTTGAAAAAGAAAATTTTTATTTCTGAGAAAAATGAACAGAAAATAAGAAAAAAAATATGAAGAGGCAAACCATGCCCTGATGAATATGTCCTCAGTCCAAAACTAAAGAACGAAAAGTGATGGTGATGGACCAAACCTCTGTAGAGTAAAAGTAAAAAAAAAGTCGATTTAGTTCTACATTTATTGAAAATATATTTCGGTCTAGGTTGACCCTCGTCAGTTCTTGAGATTGTTTCTGTCACAAAGATTAAAAGCAGATGTTTCCCGGGAAATTTAAATTTCCTCTCAGGGTTGAATTTAGAAAGTTTAATATTTAAGTAGCAACTCATTATTTTACAGAACTTTTCAGCTATAACTTAAATTTCGCGCATTCTTTAGTTTTGGACTCTGTTGTATTGAATTATACCCAAAATGAACCCAAAAAACCGAAATATTCCGACAAATTAAAAAATTTAAGTTCAAATTTTTACTAATCTTATTGGATTGTAACGTTATTAGCACCCTGTATCTCTCCCTCTAGTTCAGCTCTCTCTGATAAGCACTGACTGCTCTGCAAAGTCTTTAAAAGGGACTGTACACTAATTTTAAGTGGTCCTCTATTCATTTTATGACTTGGTTTATAAGGATAAATGAGATATCCCTGTTTTAATTTGAAAATTTTAAAGTTTCCATCGTGGTTTTCATATAAACCGGAGAAACAATGGAGGAAATTGTCCGGAATCAATACTCACACAACGAGATCTTCACATTTATCAGATATTGGATTAATTTAATTCTATTTGAAATGTTGTCTACACAGTCCCTTCAACTCTTTATTGTTTAGCCTGCAGACAAGAAGAAGTTTCCCTACGGAGGATTAAACTCCAGTAGACCTGTCACCCCTCCCAGGGGAGCCACTCAACAGAAGGGGAAGAAGAAATAAACCAGGTTAACATAATCTTTAAAGGGACTATTTCCCAAACTTGTTCTTTAAATATTCGTTACAGGGTCTACTTCCCAAACAAGTCAATTATATATTAATTAAAGGGACTGTTTCCCGACCTAGTCAAATAAAAATTAATTAAAGGTTCTATTTCCCAACCTAGTCAAATAAAAATTAATTAAAGGGACTATTTTCCAACCTACTCGATTATATATTAATTAAAGAGACTGTTTCCCAACCTAGTCAAATATATATATTAATTAAAGGGACTAGTTTCCAACCTACTCGATTATATATTCATTAAAGGGACTGTCACCAACCATAAATTATCAAATGGACAGTTCATTAGTCAAGGATTAATCCAGGAACTGTCCCTAGCCTTGTCAATGATTCACTAAATTGACTGTTCTTGGGCCTCGGTCAGATACAAAGGTACCTGACCTTTGCGCTAGAATTCTGATCGATAAATCGGGTTTTCTCCGGCCATAGATATCTTGGAAAAGTAAGTCTAATACCAATAAATAGCCAATACGCCACTTATTTTACCCTGAAATTACCCAAATAAGTAAACGGTTTCTTAAATGGAAAAAAAAAATATCTTTTCACACATTTTAATTCAATTTGTTTTTTTTAGACGCTCTGTTTGGAGATTTACTCATCATTCAAGATTGACTGTATCCTGTATCTGTTCAAGAATGTATCCCCCTCTCCAATAAAAATAAATAATTGTACTCTCCCCTCTCCACCTCTTCATGATTTTACGTCTACACAGTTTGTTAAAATTAAAGTTCTATTCTAAAAATGTTAATCTTCTAAAAGTTATTTTCATGTAGGTCTTATCCTAGCTCCGCCCCCTCAGAAAAAAAAAACATTTTTCTGTGCATTCTTTACTTGAAATGTCTCTATAACCATTCACCTATCACAAACATGGAAAAAAATCATTTTAATCATATTTTTTTTTGCAAGAACATACTGAAAATTACTTTTAAGAACAACTATCAAAAATTTCAAAAGTTCAAATTTTTTAATTTTCACATTTAGAGGTAGCTTATAATGGACTATTTATGAAGTGAAATGTTCTGTACTACTATTTTGTGAAAAGTTAACATTGAAATTTTCCATTTTTGTTGTAAATTATATATACTGCAGATGCAGCTTAAATTGTATGTACCGCAGATGCAGAATAAAAAACTCAAGGATTTTCCCCATCAAGATAAAAATTTCCAATTCATGTTCTCTTCGACTTAATTTAAAACTGCCTGCTGTATGGATCATCTGCTTTGAGAGCACTCACTTTTTTTAACAATACCGTAAATATATTTTAACATGATATAATCATTTAATGATCTGCAGTGGAACAATTTGGAGGGACGGTTAACCAAATGGGTGTATTGTATACATTAAAAACTACCCAAGAGGCCTGAGGAGGAATGCGCTTTGAAGATGTAAGGGGAAATTTACACAAACTGGACAATATTTTTTCGTACAGTGAAACCCTTAATAACGAATACATCGGAAGAATTATTCAAATGTCGTCTTGAAATTTTTCAATGAGTTATACTATATAACGTAAATTTCAGTATTTGCGAAAATAAATAAATGGACATGTATATGGGGGAACAGTTTTAAAAGAGTTCCATATAATCATTTAATTAAAAACTGATATCTGCAAAATTCCATTATAAGTAAGTGAAGAATACGACATTTGATGAATTCTTTCGATGTATTCGTTATCAAGGGTGTCACTGTATTCAAAGTTCAAAATTAACATTACTTTGGGTTCAAACAATCTAAAAGGAATTTTTATTCGTTTAAAATATCGATTAAAAACATTATCTGTTATAGTCCATATCTATTCTGTATATTGTTTAACATCTAAATGACATCATATCTTAAAAAGAAAAAGTTCTGTTAAAAAATCACCGTAAGTAGGTAAAAAAAACATAAAGGTAGTGTTCCCGAAAAATGAAATGGACTAACAGGTAGAAGTTGAATTGAATTGCTACTAATGTTACTTTATCTGTTGCATTTATATGAGTCGTTTCTTATTCAAACCGTATAGCGCAGGACGAGGGAGGTTGTGCAGAGGATCCGTGAGCCCCGCAAACTGACCTCCGGAGCCTCCTGTTTTGCAGAATGGCCTTCAAGGTAACTCTTAGCCAACCAAAATCGTCTTCGAGCCTCATGCTACGCCTGCCAGGGTAACCCTCTCTGCCTCAACGTCCAGCAATCCAATATCCAAAAACAAATATTTGGCTTTAACATCCACCAAAAGCCTTTTTCGAAAAATCTCAACATTATCATAAAGTTATAAACAGGGGGCGGGCATAACTCTCCTAATTTTGCCTGGCTAGGTGTATACTGTACAGTGAAATTTGTCGAAAAATGTTTCCTTATGACTGAGTTGGTATCATAGAGTACAGTGGGTTTAATCCTAAGTACATCTATTTGTACGGTATTGTGTGGACAGTTAATTTTAATATTTTTCAACAATGAGATATTGTAGTGTCAAAAATTGTGTAAACAACGATGTATCATTTGTCATATTTATACATCAAAAATGGGATTTAGAGGGGGGGGGGGTCAAATTGAATCTATGTAGGAAAGTCCCGGGAAAAAAAGTTTCTGGAAAAAAAACAGCTGGAAATAAAAACTTTGGAAAAAAAGTCCGAATTTTATCAAGTCCTTGGAAAAATTGTCAGTGGAAATAAAGTCCGGTGTTTTGGATTCCTGGGACTTTTTTTCCTAAAATAGTGTGGGGGGCTGCCAATAAAGTCTCAGAAAATAAGATACCAGGAAAAAAAGTCCTGAAGAAAATAAATCCGAGGAAAAGAAAAACCTAGAATTGTGAATCATGCATTTTCACTTGTTAGAGGACTTTTTTGTATAAAATCATACTGGAGCCAGAAAAAAAGTCCTAGAAAATAAAGTCTCGAATTGGTAGGACTTTATTTCCGGAGACTTTTTTATAAAAGGACTTTTTTCCACAGGAGTTTTACAGTGTGAAATTTTAGGACTTTTTTGCCGGAAACTTTTTTCCAAGCATATTCTGGTTCTCAAGTACCCCAGCAGAGATAGGGTTAAGGAGAAGGATTTTATTTTTTTCTCTATTTGTCATGTCTCATTTTTATACAAAAATCATATGGACTTGTTTTCTTTGCTTGAATATTGTAGTCTTCACTTTCAAACAATAACTTTCAAAACTGATCTACGAACTATGATTCCCCCAGGTAGAATTTCTGATCGGGTCATTGTGTACAGTGACTGTACAACAAGAAGTCTAAAATTCCAGATGCCCCCTCTATTACTAATATCTCGATGGTTATTAATAGTACATAAATAATTTTTATTAAAAAGTCTACTTTTACTGAGATTTAAACTTATTATTTTGTTTTCCTAAATTTCACAAATTCTTAAACTTTTGCAGAACTTTGGAAGCTTATCATTTCACATGTGCATTAGAGTACCACCAATTCACAAAACAAAACAGTTTTTCAGAAATGCTTAAATTTGTGCTTTTATTGTATTTCATTTTTCAAGTTTATCACAAAAACTATGTTTTGTGAATTGGTGGTAGTCTAATTAGATTTGTACATGATACACCTGTAAAATGATATAAAATTTGTCTTTCTTTATAGAGTTTCAGTAGTTATATATCTGCGTATCTAGATTGGTAAGAATGAGGAATGAGGAATGAAGAATGAGGAATGAGGAATGAAGAATGAAGAATGAAGAATGAAGAATGAAGAAAATGAGGAATGAGGAATGAGGAATGAGGAAATGAAGAATGAAGAATGAAGAATAAAGAATGAAGAATGAAGAATGAAGAATGAAGAATGAAGAATGAGGAATGAGGAATGAGGAATGAGGAATGAAGAATGAAGAATGAAGAATAAAGAATGAGGAATGAAGAATGAGGAATGAAGAATGAAGACTGAAGAATGAAGAATGAAGAATGAAGAAAGAAGAATGAGGAATGTGGAATGAGGAATGAAGAATGAAGATTGAGGAATGAAGAATGAAGAATGAGGAATGAGGAATGAGGAATGAGGAATGAGGAATGAAGAATGATGAATGAAGAATGAAGAATGAAGAATGAAGAATGAAGAATGAAGAATTCTATTCCTAGAAGGTTGTTTGAATCATATTTCTCTGGAACAAGATGTGATCATGTGGCGCAAACATTGTCTAAATAGAATAAGATAAACACCATCACGAAAAGTATATTTAATCCCGGATAATTTTGTTGTTATGAATTTTATAAACGTAACAAGTGACTTTACGCCAATGACGTAATGCAACCCTGAAACCCCGCCTATATTTCTATATTTTCTCCTGTTTGAATGCCCACTCCCAGATTGAATTTTTCAAATTACGTAAGTACTTGGATAAGTAAACCTATTATTGAACCGCAAAACCATTATATCACAAAATCCTGAATTTTATAAATCTTATCTTTTTTATAATTCCTAAAATTCAGGAAAAAACAAGATAAATTATCTTGCTGGTGATTAACCAATTTAATCAGGCCCGTAACCAGGATTTTTCCATGAGGGTGCAAAGAAGCGCGCCGCAGGGAAATTTTTTTTTGGTTTTTTAAAAGCAATGCTTGGTTTGTTTTTACGGTGGTATATGGTTTTCTTTATTACATTGTCAATGTACGTTATAAAGACTAACCTTTTTAACAAGTGTATTTAAGCTTTTAAGGGTTACATTTTAGTGTCTGAAACTTTTCAGTTTACATATACAATATACATAAAAAATAAATGAATGGTACTTTAGCTTAAGGAAAAAATTCATTATTTAAAATCAAGGCTTCTTGTCCCTCGGCCTCATCATGATATTATGAAGATGAATAAAAAATAAAATTTCTAATATTTTGTTTAAAAGAGTTTATTTATTGACATTGAGACATTGAGACATTCTTAGTGAATTTTTGAGTACTCAAAAAAACCCTTCTACTTTGACAAAAAATGACAAATATCCTCGCTTAAAATAATGTTTTTGAAACTCCCAAAAATGGCTATTATAATGAGTAACACACAATAAGATTATAATTTGGTTTGGAAAGGGAATCAACTCTTGCTTGAGCTATATTATTGGTAACTAGATTTTAGAAAATTATGAAAAACAATTTCTTTTATATGGGAC